GGGGAGGCGGGGAGGCAGGGAGGCGGGGAGGCGTGAGGAACTCCCAGCTGTTGGACTAGGGGGACCGCGCGCTCTGGCCCAGAACCGGCGAAAGGCGGTGGGTGGGTGAGGCACGAGGAGAGGGGAGTAGGTGGAAGGGGTGGGCAGAAAGAGGGAGAGAGTGAGGCGGCATGTCCCGGGCTGCTGGGACGCAGCAGGTCAGCGTTAGGGTGTCTCTTAGCCAGAGAGAGAGAAAGTGTGTGTGTGTGTGTGAGAGAGAGAGTGTGTGTGTGAGAGAGAGAGAGAGAGAGAGAGAGAGAGAGAGAGAGAAGGACAGGAAAACTCCCGGCACAGTCTCCAACCGTCGGGGCCGTCTCCAGCGCCCTCAATCCCTCTCTTTCTCCCCGGCTGTGTCTCTCTGTCTTGTCTCCTGGTGTGGCGTCCCTGGCTGTGGATGCCCGCCCCGGCGAGTATGTGGCACGGGGGGGGGGGGGATTTACACGTATGCGGGAGTGCAAGTGTATGCCAGTGTATGCCAGTGTATGCAAATGCGCGCAAGTGCATGCAAGTGTGTGGTGCGGGCTCACGAGCAAGGACGACGGTGTGCCCCTCCAGTCAGCCATGGCGAGAATGCGTTGGCATCTGTTTCATGGGATCATGTGTTGGTATATATTGGCCACGTGGATAGGCGACAAGGACAGGGGGCGCGACGCCCAGGCGCGCGGCACTTGTGGGCGCAGTGGCAGCGGCAGGACGGCGTAGGATCGGGAGAGGGGGGGAGAGAGGGAGAGAGAGAGGGGGGGGGGGGGAGATTGAAGAAGAGACACGAGCTGGAGCGACATGATGTCTGTCTGCTTCGGTCTGCCAATGGGGTCTACACGCGAAGGCGAGAGAGAGCATTCGAGAGAGCGGGAAAGGCGTCCCGGCTGGACGCAGCAACTCCCGCACGAAACTGAGGAGGGGGAGAGATAGGGGAGCGCGCGTGTGTGCGTATGTGTCTGCATATGTGTCTGCGTGTGTGGGTGTGTAGGTGTGTGGGTGTGTGAGGACATGTGCCGTGGGGGAAGGAGCGCACGCGCGCGCGCGCGAGGGCGGATGGGCACTGGCACACCTAGAAGGGCATGCACGTGTGGAGCCATGCAAATGCATGTGCGTGCGTCCCTGCACAAGGAGACTGGGGCAATGAGCAGCGGGATGCACAGCATGCGGCCCGACGCACATGAATGCATACGCGGGAACATGCTTCCACAGGCCTGCGCCGGCCCCGCCGCCTCCCTTTTTTTTCTTCGTCACACAGGCAGATGACATACACACACGCACACACGGACGCACACCTCAATCAGGGCCTCTTAGGAACAGCAGGTGCCGGAAGATTCGCCCAGAGGCGCATCCGGCCGCTTGGGGTTGACACCCTGGTGCTCGAAGGACACGGTGTTCGAATGCTTGGGGCCGCCAAAAGAAGAGGCTACCATCGGTCGCGCGAGGATGGCCAGCTTCTTGAAGGCACGCTCAACATGCGTGCCATCCCGTGCAGAGCACTCCACATACACGGCGTTTATGCTCTTGGCCCAGGCCTCGGCCGTGGTCCGAGGAACGGAGCGATCCTGCAGGGGGAGGGAAGGAGGAAATGCACCGGAGACCCAGGAACAGCAGAGCAGCGAGGACAGGAGAGGCAGTGAGCAGGGGGGGGGGGGAGGAGAGAGGGGGATGTTAGCTCCAGTCGAGCATGAGGGGGGGGGGGGGATAAAACAGGCGTATAGCCGACCGGAACCCGGGCGGTCTGCCTCACACGATCGAGGACCATGATGAAAGAAAAAAAAAGCGCGACGCGGGCGCAGAAACGCACGCAATCCATCTTGTTGCCGATGACAATGAACGGGAAGTCATTGGGCCGCTGGATGTCGGCACGCGTGATGAAATCCGCATGCCACTTCTTGAGGTTGTCAAAGCTAGAAAAGGTGCTCAGGTCGAAGACCAGCACGCAAGCGTCGGCCCCGCGGTAAAAGGCGGTTCCGAGCGACTGGAAGCGCTCCTGGCCTGGGGGGCGGGGGGGGGGGCGGGGGAATGCCGAGCGGGAGGAGAATACAGTGAGGAACAGAGGGAAAGGGAAAGGGAGAGAGAGAGAGAGTAGTCACAAGGCTGGACGTGGAGCAGAGGAGGAGGCCCCACATCCGAGAACGCACCGGCCGTGTCCCACAGCTGCATCGTGATACGCAGTGGCTGCTCCGAGGAAGGGGGGTTCTCCTGGAAGTGCTCGCGCAGGGCAACCACATTCGACAGAGAAGGGAGCTCCTGCGCCAGGGTGGCCGCCAGGGCAGTGTCCACGACCACCTCCTTGGAGATGAAGTCCACCCCGATGGTGGCCTTGTAGTTGCTGTTGAACTTGTTGTGGATGAACCGGGCCCGGAGGGATGTCTTGCCCACACCACCGTCCCCAATGATGGGGATCTTCAGGAGGGCCTTCTGCATGGTGGCAAAGCGGCGGAGAGGGGGG